AGGACAAGGTTTGATTTAGAATTTTCAGAGTTCACTAGCAGAAGGAGGTGGCCCAGGCCCCCATCCCTCACTTCTGGCTCTGTCTTAAATTCTGAGGGGTATAACGGAATGGGTATGGATATCTCAGCTTGCAAGCCAGATATGTTTACAATTTGTTCTCATTCCTGGCAAATAGCTCCCTCTTGATCACCCCTGCAGAAGGGTTTGTGCAGATACTGGAAACAGGGCCATTTGGGGAGGGAAATTGTGGTCCTGGGTATGCAAAGTAGAGGTTGAATTTAGGGTGAGCATATTCCTCTAGCTATAAGATTATACAGATTTCTTGCACTATGAGGCTAGAGGAGAGTCAGAGGAGGGCTAAAATTATATTTAAAGACCATCATGTATAAAATACTATGACACCAGATTCCAATACTTTTAAATTAAAAAGCAGTATGATGGTTGGACTTGGGAAAAATACCATTAACTGAACTATAATTGTATGTCAATCCTTGGTTATAGGCATATTCATAAAACATCTCAGTGAATCCTGAAAAAGAAAATGATCACCCTCATTTTACAAGTGCAGAGACCAGGGCACAGAAAAGTCAGGGAACACGTTCCAGGCCACAAAGCGATATGGGTGAATTCAGGAGTTGAATCTGTCTGTCTGTTTACAAAACATACTTTCTTTCCATTCCCTTAATTTATGATAGAAGAATTTCTGCCTTATGACATCTTACTTCCTCCTCTGTTTGAAAATCCAACACTGTAATGTATTCATCACTGCGCACAATGGTTTTATATTTTTGTCTCATAGAAATGCCTGTATACCCCAACCGGTGTGGCTCAGTGGTTGAGCATTGACCTATGAACCAGGAGGTCATGGTTCGATTCCCAGTCAGGACACGTACCTGGATTGTGGGCTCGATCCCCAGTAGTGGGTGTGCAGGAGGCAGCTGATGAATAAGTCTCTCTCATCATTGATGTTTCTCTCTCTATCCCTCTCCCTCTCCCTTCCTCTCTGAAATCAATAAAAATATATCTTTTTAAAATGCCTATACAATGTTGGCTGAAGTGTTTGTTTTTTAAACATTTATTTAGTGTTATTCTGAGTTCTTTATAGAAATTAAATCACTTAATCTCACAACAACCCCATGAGGTAGATACCACTACTACCCCCGTGTTACAGATGAGGAACAGTAAGGCACAGACAAGTTAACTAACTTCCCCATCACACAGCCGGTGAGGAAGCAGCTGAGGTTAGCCTGAGCTCTCAACCACTGAGCTCCAGTGCCTTTTGTCATTGTTATAGTTCCACACTGATTGCATACTGGCAGACAACTGCTTTATTTACAAAGCTCACACGTTTCTGCCATGGTCAAATCTTTATCTCGAGGGAATTTATCAGCTGACAGAATGAAATATAATTGTGCCCTATTTTCTAATACAGCCTATCTCCTAGTTATGTCTGTTCTGCATCAACTCTTTTAATTGCTCTCAGAACATCTAATCTAGAGACCCAGGCACCACATAAAATACAATGATGAACATCAAAATGCTGGTTTCTGGACACTCTCCAAACTCTAGCTTCCCTCTGCTCTCTTCAAACTGCTTCATGCATGGGCTTCCCTCACTTGCTGATCCATTTGGCTTTACACCTTAGCTCCTCCTTCTTACCTCACCTCATTTGCCATTGGTAACGTTCCTTCACTCTGCTTTCCTTCATACAGGGCTGGCCTCCCCATGGCTCTCCGCCACTGGCAATGGCTCCTCTGCACCCATGGGCCCCAGGCCCTGTGCTCCATGCTTCCCCAGACTCCTAAGACACCCGCAGCATCTACAGTACTCCCAAGCCTGACTCATCTGAGAGGAGCATGAGAAAATGTGGGCAGTTCATCTGTTTTGACAAAAGACTAGAGAAATAGGTTTTGTACCTATCATTTATCTATCATTTATAGCATTTGCAAGTCACTGTAACGCACACCACCCTCTAGCATGAGTGATTAGAAGCGATATTCACTTTCACATGTTTTCCTTCAATTACTAATTCTAACAAATGGAAATCACGGCATATTTGTGTGGCATATCTCAAGTTCTCTCACAAAAGAAGCCGGTATGTTTAACTTAAGTGACCATATGCATATCTTACAGATATTTCAACATCTGGCCCTACTTTGCAAAGGCTTAGTTTCACAAGTTACACCAGAAAGAATGCATTTAAAAACATAAGGCCCTGGATATCTATACGAAAACCACATCAGTGGGACCCTTGAAATTTTGTGTAAGTAAACATTGGGAATGTGACAAATTGCTAATTTCCTATGAAGGACTGTAAAATTCCAGCTGAGAACTCTGGGTTGTGGGTAGAGAGAAGAATAGAAATAGGAATGGCTCGCTAACCTCAGAGACTGCTCCTGCTGTCTAGATTTTGAATGAAAACATGTTGCCTGGAGGCTGAGGTTATCATTGGTCTTTATAACTGTTGCTCACCCAAAGCCTCCATTTCAAGATGCTCATATACAGATTGTAGATCTCAGCACTCTGCTGGTGTGGTGGCAAGAACAAGGCCTTTAGCCCGGGGAAGTTAGTAATGTCTAACTGAAATCTACAGCATCAGACTTTGTCTTCATTATCAGAAAAACAAAGAAATAATGGTACCCATAAAATAATCAGAGCACCCCAGGAAAGCAACATTAATGTCAAGTAACAGCATGGTACAGATGTCTCCAACTCACTTTGAACTCTGCTCTTAAATGTATCCTGCTGAACCTATGGCATACCCATTTCTTACACTGTCTTTATCATAGTAGTTTAAAATTTGGATTTATTCCAAATTCCTGCTTACCTATTTATTCTGACCTCTGATGTATTCATTTTGTATGCTGTATTTTTACAACAGCGATATATTTTCACTGTTTTATAATGTCATAATGAGGATTGCTACTGGTTTGAGTACTTTGGGACATGTTATTAAAATAGGAGCCATGCACTTATTGGCATATTCATATTTTGGTTTGTTTAAATGAGACGCATTCTGTATCATGAAAAGACAATGGTTACAGTTTTTTTAAAAAATGGGTATCAGGATTTCTTGGAAAAATAGCTGAGTCCAGGCTGGGGCAGGAAATAGGGAAGTGAGCCTGAAATATCTTGTCATACCTAATAGTGAAGAAATTATCAAAGTTCTAAGGATCATGGTAAAAGAACTCAGGAGACAACTTTTAAGGATGCTCCCACTGGCCAAAGATGGAATAAATTATACATCAATGAGGATGAGAACTCTGATGGTATTTAAATGTATTACTTCATAGGCTACTTAAAGAAATACTTGCTTATCACTGTTGTCTGATACCAAAAACTTAACTCATCATTTTGAAATCTGCTGGGTAAAGAGTAAGAAACATTTGTGCTGCTTTTTTAAAATAAAAACTGGGAACCACTGGGAACCAATGAGTTAATGATACATTTCTCTTCATGGAAAACATTATAGCTAATAAATAAAACAAAAATAATAGAAATGTAATATCACTCATTTGAAACTCTTACAGAACTAAGGATTTAGGTTCTTGAACATCAGTGGCTACTAACATCATCAAAAGTAACATGGTCAGACATTATGTGCCTCCTGATGAAAAAATGCAGTATCACTTATAAAGTAGTTATATCTGACAAAAGGAATAACCTGAATCTTTTCAAGTTGCCAGATGTGACTATTAAATTAGAGTAAATACAGAGAATGGGGAACATGTTAATCTACATACACTGTGGGTATGAAAATAGCAAAATCCAGATCGTGAAAACTGTGACAAGACAACACACAGCAGTACATTAATTTCAAGGAGAAAAAAAATAAATAAATAAAGATGGAGGGATAATCTAAATGTGCAAATGGATGTAAAAGATGTATCAGCGTGTGGGCACAATGTATGGGCCTTATCTGGATTCTGATTCAAACAGGGACATTTACAAGCAATTGGAAATTTGAACCCTGGATGGATATTTGATAATCAATTAAGAAATTTTTGATGTTTTTAGTGTGATAATGACATTGTGGTTACATTTTTTAAAAGAATTATCTTTTAGAGATATATACTAAAGTATTTATAGATGAAATGCTATATCCGAAATGTGCTTCAAAATAATATGGGCTGGGGAAGTTGGATGAGACTATGAGCAGGAAAAGATTGACAATGGTTTCATGGCTATTGGGGTTAGATGATGGCGTTGATTACCCCTGTCCTGTTATGTGGATGTTTAAAGTTCTCTCTAATTAAAGCTAAAAACAAAACCAGCCATTTCTTTGTTTACATTCTACTCTCAATGTTTAATCAATTTTAAATATCCAAGGGAAGAAATTTATCAGGACTAACTTAAAAAACCAGCATATACTCATGAGCTTCATTTACTATTTACAAAGGCGGCCCATTTTTCTAGAGAAAAGAGAAAGTACAAAGAACAAACCTTCTTTATTTTATTGTATCTATTATATGCTCACTCACTTCACCTATGTATCATCTGTACTCATTGTGGCTACTGGACATTGAATGGAAAGTCAGTCTGTACAATAAGACTGTATTCTTATAGTTCTTGTTTAATTAAGTACATCATTAGTTTAATAGAACAGAAATTTACCAACATTTAAATTTACCAGCTGCCTGTTTACTACAGGTAACCAGGTTGAAAACAAAACCACAACTCTCTTCTGCTTATACTGCATTAGCCAGTTTTTAAATCAGTACACAAAATGATTTTTTCTTTTGAACAGTCTAAAATTGTGCCATCTATACTAAAAGTAATGTCAGTTTTCCTACATCCCTGCCTGCCCTTTACCTTATTGCCTTTCCACACCTTACTTTTCCATTTTCCAATGTTAGATTTCACTTATCAATTTATTTGCTATGTCTCATGTCAATAGACTTTTAAGGGAAACATAAGAACTTGCTAAAATACTAAACCTGTTGATTAAAAGGTGGGGTGATGACGCATCAAAATCCTAACTTTAAACTGCTGATACTAACCGAGTTGCTTAGTTTCACCTTTTCAGGATTGAATACTTTTATTGTTTCCTTCTCAAGTTCTTTATGACCCATTGTTTCTTCTGCGGGTTTCTGAAAATAATCCTTTTCTCAGGCCTTTATCTTCTGACATCCCACCGTCCACCTGCTACAACCCCAGATGTAAAGGTTACGATTCAGGGGCTTGGGCTCCATCCAGATGGAATCAGATCAGAATTTTCCCACTGGGTCCTAACACCAGGGAGGCCTGCATGATATACAACTAAGAATAATTAGCCTTTAATTAAGGGGTATTTCTTTCCTCTGTGATCGTTTTGCAACAATATCAAAACATTTATAAAATGTTTATCCTCACAGATCCTGAGGTGCATTTTCTTGAGTCATTGGCTCCTTTTCAATTACTGAAATAACCAAAGAAAGAACAAACAAATCTAAACAAGTAAATGGAAAATACATTTTCCTCCTCCTCTTATTTCTCTAGTACAGAGCCTGTTCTCCTTTATGATATTTATATCAAGATCCCCTTTGTTGCATAAAATTGATAATTAAAAGAAAAACACTTACCCAGAACAAGAAGTTGAAGACAAACATAGAATATTTTAGACAGTTATTCACACCTGCCATGTCGGAAAAGGATCAGGAATCAGATGCTGAGAATTTAGCTGTTCGTTATAGGATTGTCCGGCAATGTGCTCAGGAGTAATTTGCCTGTGGAGAATTCTGTGCCCGCGGCTTGAGAGCAGAAATAGAAAGCAAAGAAGTGAGGGGGGCAGGGGGGGGTAATCTAGTTATTAAAGTGGATAAAAAATTAACCCACACATTTAAATATCTCAAGGGCTATCTCTAGGCGAGTATGTTCTTTTGCTTGTCATGGCTCTGGGGCACCAGGCCAGGATATTTATGGTCCTTTTTCAAAAAACTGCCTCCTCTAAAGTAAACAGATATCAAGTTAAGGGAGTGGCACTGAACCCAGGAGAGAATGGCACAGCGATACTAGGTTGTTAGATTTCAGAAACCACAACCTGACTTGCCTGCCCTCTATTTTAACTATACGGAAGGAAATAAGGCTGCTTTGCAGCTTTGAGATAAAGGGACATTGTGTCTCAACTCATTTTTGCATTGCATTTTCTCAGGAATGCAAAATTTCTTTCAGGTGCAATAACATGCATTCAGAAATCTGCCCTATCTGAAGGCTTAGACATAGCAGCCTTTTATCCTTAACCCCAGAATAGTGGTAACAACCATTGCTTGTACCTGCCTTCCAAAGTTTCTCAATGGATTTCGAAACAATTTCATGGAGCTTCTTTAAATGCAGTGTAGTTTGGGGGGAGTGGGGAGGGAGAGGCTGCCCTGCCTGTCATAAGAACATTCCATTTTTATCTTTATTTCTTTATGATGTAAAAAGAAAATAAAAAATTCTCAGGCGTCACTCTCTGACTCCCCTAATTGCATGCATTTTATAACGTGTAGCCATTCTGATAAGTCAGCTTGTTTTTAAGGTGGACACTGATAAGTTATGTCTATCAAAGTTCCTCACCACCAATTCAATTTCTGGATTCCGGGTCTCTTGGACAGAAAAAAAAAAATTATTATTTTTTTTTTCAAAAAGAGAAGGTGGTCATAGTTCAATGACCGTAGATTGTGGAGTTTGTTTCCAGTACTAATAGAAGGCAGCTGTTGCAGGTAAAGGCAAAGTTTTCTGACCTAATTAGGGAGGTGTGGACTGCTTTTGTGTAAACAATTTGGGTCATGCTAGTCTCCACATCCTGCCTCTAAAAAGAAGGATTCCCCGCCCCCCACCCCTGAAATAAAAGAACCCTGTACTTCAAAGGGTTTTTTGAAAAAAATAATTCTTTAAAATCTTTGTTATGTTCTATACAATAAGCAAGCATGAACTTCTAAAAATGTGAATAGTTAAAAGAATATTTTTCTAACTTTTACTGACATACAAAGATGCTTTTGAAACAATCCCAGTACTTGAGTATAAACATAATATGTTTTTCATGTTTTAGTAGCAATAATATTTAGTGTCAAAAGCCAAATTTAGAACTAATATTAAAAAGTATTGTTTAACATTTAAATCACTAAAATTATTGGTGTTCTGTGCTGTTTCCTCCTAGAAAATGAAAATTATTTTGAAATTGCTATTGAGATATCAGTACATTTAGGATTATCCATGGCTAAAAGAAGAGAGAGTTTTTAACTGAATGAAAAACCAAATGGATTTGGTTTTTATTTATCAAAAGAAACATACAGTATAGGTTAAAATACTGTTTTGTTCGCAAGCATGTAATTGAGTCTACCAAATTTCAGTTTGGAAAAGATTTTTTTTTATAGATGCTGAATCTCCTTTAAAAAATTATAGTCTTTAGTTTAAATCATAATTGAACTTTGAAACACAAAAATCAATGGATGGGGAGCTGGGCTGAAGGAACTTGCCTTTGAACAGCTTCCCAGATGGCACTCTAAGGCTTCTTACTCTAACACCAACTTAAAAGGATCTGTTGTCAGAGAGAAACCAAGATGGCGGCATAGGTAAATACCTGAAATTGCTGCCTTGCACAACCACTTCAAAACTACAACTAAAAGACAAAACAGACATCATCCAGGACCACAGGAAGGCTGGCTGAGTGGAAATTCTACAACTAGAAGGAAAGAGAAAAGCACACTGAGACTCAGAGGAGGTGCGGAAGTAAAGTGCAGAGGTACAAAGGCACGCGAGGAAAGGGCTGGCAACAGAGGACTCTGGTGTCTTTTTCAATCGGGAGGGAGTCACAAGCTCCTGATGGCTCTGAACTCCAGTTCCTTGAGTCCCTAGGGACCCAGACTCATACGGGGAGAAACTGGACTGTCTGGCAGCGGGCAGAACTCGAGGGCAGCTTTCTCTCAGAGGTGCTTGCAGCGATTACTGGGACACTGAGATGCGGGGCATCTTAGGGTAGGACTGAGGAGCAGCCATAGCTTCTTGCTCCACCCTGTTGATTCCCTGAGA